GGGGGGGGGGGGGGGCGGAGCGCGGCGGCAGGTGATCATGGTGTGCGTAGGGCGCACAGGTGGCGCAGGGCCTGTGGCGGGAGCACGCTCTGCGGGAGGTCCTGGCTGCGGCATACAGCGCCTTGCGCGCTTGTGCTCAGAGGCTTGGAAAATATATAGGTTCCGGCATTACAATGGGCCCGCTGCGCCCGGTGTACACGCCGTGCCGCCGCTTACCGAGTTTTGATCTCGGAGGGACAGGTGCAAGAAGAGTGGCAGAGGTACGTATGCGCTGAGTATCAGCTTGATCACGTGTTGTTGTTGGTATCAAGGTTCCGTAGGGATCAAGAAAGTGCAGACAGGCGATCACTGCTTATGATATTAGATCCCCTCGGCGCACCGGGCCACTTCATCAACACGACAGCAGAATTTGAAATTGGTGAACTCCACAGCGTATCAACATCATACCTGCAAATATCAAAACTTGTCCCGATCTATCTGCATCACGGGCCCACGCTCAGCGACGTCGAGTGCACTGCCAACATTTTATCAATCAGTGTTGATACTTTCTGGAATTCGTCACCGTCTCGGTAGCTGACGCCCCCTTGCGACGCCATCGCAGCGCGCGCCGCTTTTTGCACCGTCACCACTGCCCGCGCTGCAATCCCGCCACAACTGCTGGTGGCAGAAGCCTCGCCCTGCCACCATGGGGGGCGAGGAGGGCGGTGGCGCGTTTGCCTTCAACTTCTTCGCCGCGCAGACGGGGGCCGTGGCTGCTGTGGCGGTGGCGGCGCGGGGTGGCAGCGCCAGCAGCGAGGGCGCCGACGCTGACGCGCTCGAGGCCGCCGCGGAGGCGCGTGCGGCCCTGGTCGCAGAGGCGGAGGCCGAGTGCATACTGCACGGCCCGCACGGCGGCGCCGCGCAGCGCGGTGGGCAGGCGGACTGGGCATGCTTTGAGGGCGCGGAGGAGGTGGAGGCGCCGGCGCAGCGGAGAGCCAGCGAGGTGATTTTGGTGGCCACCCGCTCTGCCTCTGCCTGGCATGCACGCGCGCGCGCATGCGCACCGAATACAGGGCCAGGGGCGGAGATCGCTGCTAGGGGCCGGCTGGCGTTGTGCGCAGCGGCCGCGGGCGCGGCGTGCAATTGCAGACTTGCAGCCTGCTCAGGCGGCTGCGCCATACGCCGGCTGCTTCGACCCTTGGTACCGCGCGCCCCGCCTGGCGCTGCTGTCTGCGCCGTGCAGGACCTGGCAGCGGCGGAGACCCTCAGCGAAATCCAGATCCCGGGGACAGACATACGGCTGCACAAGGTGCGCTCCTGCCCTCCTCGGGCGCTCTTCCCTGCTGCGGCTGGGGATGGGCAGGTCTCGCGTGCAGCGCGCTCTGCCCAAATTACACTCTTTGGTCTTGGCCGTGACGCGGCCCAGCAGTGCCCCTTGACCGGCCGCGCGCCTGCGCCGTGGAGCTGCACTCACCCGGCACCCTTGAATCCCCGCCAACACACATGCACGCATGCACGGACAGAAACGAGAGCCTGGGCGCGCACGCACGCACGCACGCACGAGTGCATGGACGCACGCAAGCATGCACCCCTCCCACCAACACCCCTTACACACACATGCATACGCGCATCAACTCCAACCAAAACACTCAGTGCGCTGTCACCAGCGACGCCGCGGCTGCGCTGTTGGGAGAGACCCAGCTCCAGGAGAGCGACCTGGTGCCCGGAAAATACGAGGGTGAGGGGCTGGACAAAGCTTAGGAGCAGCCGCACCAGCAGACCCCTAAGCTGCCCTGTGGTCAAGGGCCATGTGATTGTGTCGTGTTGTGTTGGGGGCGGCTGCTTGGTGCGGATCAGTCCCTCAGGAGCGGGCCGCAGCCGCAGTCAGGTGCTCGCGCGCAAGCTCCTGCCGTCGCGTGCCCGGGGCCAGAGGCTGCGGCCACTGGCCGCTCCCGGCGCTCGCCGCGTGCGACATTGCCTGCGCGGGCGCGCCTGCTCCTCTGCCTGAACCCTGAATGGGCCGCAGCCCAGGCCTGCCGCCCGCGGGCGACCTGAAGGCTGGCCCTCCTGCCTGCCTGTGGGGATGTTTTTGCAGTACAGAACTGCAGTCGGTGCCGTCAACAAGCACACACGCACGCACGCACACACGCACGCACGCCCACGAAGGAATGATAATGATTGTATGCACAGGCTCGTGTTCATACACCCACTAGTGGAATGTTTGCACAAGCGGCAACCCCCGTTCAAACCCCAGGGGGCTTCAAGCTGTGGGAGGGGGCGGTGGACCTGGCGGCCTACATCGCGCGGGAGCACAAGCTGTTGGCCGCTGACGTCATCACGGGGACCCCGGCGGAAAGCGGCCTGGACGTGAGCCGCGTGTGGGACTGCGGGCCTAGGCTTGGCCCTGGGCGAGGGCGCCCTTGGCTTTTGTTTCACCGCCATGCGAGCAGCAGGGGGCCGACGTGGGGCCGTCATGGCAGTTGATCATTTATGGTGGCTGCGAAGGTCATCACCCCGCTTCCTGCTCCATGGTGCTCCCGCTCGCCTGCCCAGCCCTTCCGTACCGGGCCCCCTCCCCGCACACCTTTTGCTCAACCCCCGCGCGCCTTAGCACCACCACACGGCCCCAACCCTTTCACCCCTTCCTCCTCCCCCCTCCCTCCCCGACACACACGCACCCTATGCAGCGCCTGCGGGTCCTGGAGCTGGGCTGCGGCCACGGCCTGCCGGGCGTGCTGTGCCTGCTGGCGGGGTCCGAGGTGCACTTCCAGGACTACAACCGGGAGGTGCTGACATCACTCACGGCGCCCAACGTGGCGGCCAACCTGGCGCGGCTGCCGCGCGGCGCTGTGCGGCCACGGGCGAGGTACTTCGCGGGTGAGCCCGGGTCGTGGGCAGTGTTGTGGGTTTGATTTGCGGGGGGCAGGGAGGGGGGCGTCGTGCTAGTTTGGGACGAGGCGCCGACCGCAAGTTTTTGGGACCCGACAAACTGGCCTCGCAGCCGATCTCACTGAGCTTATCTGCTGGGAGCGAGCAGGGGGCTATGTCATCACAGGGGCCTTCCACAAGCTCGCACGCACGCATGTGTGGACACGCACCTGCTTTCTCGTAACGCGCTCGCACACACCAAGTTTCCAGTAGCCAGATGCACTGCAAGCACATGCATGCAGCCACACTGCTTCCTTGCACAAAACACGCGTGCGCACACACACACGCACACACACACACACACACACACACACACACACACACGCACGCACGCACACGCACGCACGCACACACACGCACACACACGCATGCACCCCCCCTGTGTCCCCACCGCACGCTCGCGCACACCGTCCTGCCCCCACCGCAGGTGACTGGCTGGCCGTGGGCAGCCTGCTGTCTACCAAGGGCCTGGACGCCTCTTATGATCTCGTGCTCACCGCTGAGACCATTTACAGCCCACACGGCGCCAGCCGGCTGCTGGAGTGCATCAAGCAGGTGGGGGGCAGGGAGGCGCGTGTGTGAGCGTGCAGAGGTAGACGAGGTGCACGCTGCGGACTGGGTTTGGGCGGGTGCGGGGTAGGGGTGCAGGGGGGGTTGCAGCGTATCATGTGTGCATGGGCTGGGGAGTGGGTGTGTGTGAGAGAGAGTGTGTGTGTGTGTGTGTGTGTGTGTGTGTGTTTGTGTGCAAGGCAGGGACCTCGAGGGGTGCTGTCGCAATGCCAGGCTCGCGTATTCGCACGGCTCCGAAGCTGCGCCGTCATGCAAGCATTGTGGCGAAAGTGGGGCCCCCAGCAACCGTCCTCCACCTCGCACCACCACCGCGCCTCCCCAGCACACGGCCCACCGTCGGCCCCAAGCACGCGTCCGCCGCCCGACCCCGCGCGCAACCCGCCCCCACCCCCGTGCCGCCCGACCTCCTGCTTCCGAACCGCCCCTTCTCGCCCATCGTAAAACCCTGCTCCTGACCCTCATCCTCGGCTCTGCCCCCCTCGACCCCGCGGACCCCCAAAGGTCCTCCGGCCGCCCCACGGCGTCGCGCTCGTCGCCGCCAAGAGCCACTACTTCGGCGTCGGCGGCGGCACCGCCGGCTTCGCCGCGGCGGTCGCGGCCGACGGCACGCTGGAAGTCGAGCGTGTGTGGGTGGTGGAGGACGGGGCCAGCAACAAGCGGGAGATCCTCAAACTCGCGTTCCCGGCCTCCATCGTGCCGTACTTCATGTGACCGGCCGATTCCATGCTGATGACGCGTTGTGATGTCAGCACCGCGCCCTGGCCGCCGGGAGGCCTCGGCGGCGGCGGCGGGCGCCCCGCTGTGCAGCGCGCGAGTTCATAGCAGCCGGTCCCAGCTTCAAGCTGCCGGCGCATGCCGCGCCAAGGCCTTTGCAATACAGGGCCGGGGCAAGGGCGGGGGCCACGAGCATGCGGTTGGACATGTCTGCTGGCAGGATGCTGTCGGGTTGCAAGTGATTGTTGCGCTTTGCACGTTTTACAATGTTGGCGGGGCAGGCATGCTCCTGGGCCCGGCCGAGTTGAACGGCTGGCCAAAGCACATCGGATGGCAGGGGCTGCTGTGGCCAATTTAAGGGCACCTCCATTTTGCCTTGGTCCTGTTGCGTTAATGATTTCCTCAGCCATGGTCCCGCGAATTCACAGCCGGCTGCAGGCATCTGCCGGAGGCCGCCAACGGCCCGGCCGCCGATCCGCTGCCGCCGTTCATAGAGGCGCGCACACCGCAGATGCAAAAGGACCGCCACCCCTGACTAATTACCGCGCAACCACCCCCACACGACGCTTGACACACGCTGCCATATGACCCAACGATACGCAGAGAGCAACCACCTGACATGCACACGCGTGATTTCGGTCGTGCCAATGGAGTAACCCCGCCAGACACTGGGTCCTTGCCTGCCTGTTTCAACAAGTATGTCGAGCAGGCCGAGCCCAGGCAGTTGGTCTGTTGTGCTCGAGCACCATCATTATGGGACAGCCGCACCCAGTGCGGCCGATATCAAAGGTGTCGCCGCATCCGCCGCACCCAGCACAGCGCCCCCCGCGAGCGGGGGCGGGAGCAGCGACACCGGGGCCGCCAGGGGGCACAGCAAGAGAAGGGGGCGGTACCCGGTGATGGCATCAGCATCTGCATGATCGACCCAGATAATGGCGACGTGCAGAGACCTGCAGACCGACAGAAACCCGCTGCCTGGCCCTCCTTCAAAAGCAGGCTGAGTGACTGGCGTGGTCCGCGTCTTGTTTGGTATGCGAGGTTTTCTGAGGCCACAATCCATCCCTTCCTTAGCTATCATTGCCTCCTTGTAATCTCGCTAGCTAGCAGGCTCGGCTCATGTCAGAGAAAAGCCCTTCACTCACAAACAGGGGCCGCAGCAGGGCAACCGACATCGCCCTCACCAGTTTGGGCCCCAAATCACGGAGCATCGAATGTGTGTGCCCCGGCCCTGACGCAATGCCTTGCAGGGAATCTTCATGCATGCAGCCTACACTACAATGCCCTCTCCTCCAACTGGCAATTGGTCTGCATCTGTCCAGCATTGAGTCAATTAGTCAAATAGCGTGGCTCGGGATACTAGCATCATCCCCACTGGCTCGGGGGTGAATGGCGAGTGATTGTGACCACTGTGCGTGGTGTTTCACGTAATGAGACTCAGCCCGGCGAGTCAGCATGCCAATCGAGCACTGTGTTTCCTGACGCGCCGTCGTTGATCTCCACCAGTGACACTGCAACCACATCCAGATTCCCAGGTGCATCCAACACAAGAACCAGACAGCTTTGTTTTGAAACGCTGAACACCAGCTGGATCTCTCCGCACACCCTCGAACCAAACCATGGACAAAGGCGCCGGGCGCCCTCAGTGACGCGGCTGACACGGTGCTTTTCAGAATCTTTTGACACATTAAACGTGACTGAGGCCCCCGTGCCTTCACGCCCCGCGGCCATGCGCCTAGCCATATGCCTCATGCTGGCAGCCGCTGCAGCACTGCACTGCACAACCGCCGCCCAAACGCCAGCTGCGCCCGAGGCACGGGCCGCAGTCACAAGCGGGCTGCCGCGCCTGATTCCCATGAGCCTGCTGCTCGGCACTTCCAAGTACCGCAACGCGCAGGTGAGGGTGGAGCGGCTGACAACCGGCAGGACAGTGGTAGGCGCAGGGGGCGCGGATAAATGCGTTTGTGTGTGTGTGTGTGGGGGGGGGGGGCTCATCAGCCGACATGTTCAGGTGACGCATGCAAGTTGGACGTAGTAGCAGGCAAGGTGTGGCAGTCAAAGCGGCAGTCGCAGGCACGAGTCACTAGCCTGTGCAGCAGCGGCCCGCGTGCGCTCCCTGTTCCAGAGGGGCCCGAACCGCTTCGCACCCGCCCCTTCATTTTTCCCTTCACTGGCTCGCACGGCACCGTGCCCGTGCGCAGCTGAGCCCGGACGGCAAGTACATCTCATACAACCGCCCGTCGGGGGATACGGGAGTGTACAACGTTTTTGTGAAGGAGCTGCCGGCCCCAGGGTCTGCGGCGGCGGCGGCGGACAAGCGGAGCCTGTTTGACCGAGAAGGGATTGACAAGGACATCCAGGTGGGCTGCAGGGCCGGTGGGCTGCATCTCGATTTGCTGGGTAGCAATCTGTTCGTTCCGGCGCCTTTCCGAAGCGACGCGGCCGCCCAGGCGAGGGGCGCGCGTATTGTGATAGGAGGGGAAAGGGGGCGCCACGGCGCCAAAGACGCCAACGAGACCGTCTGGGCGAGCCCAAAACCCGCGCGCCGCAGCGTTTGGTTTGTGGGCACGCGCACGGGGCAGGCGCCCAGATCCTGCAAGCTGTCGCGTCCGGCGCCGCCACCCCGCCTGATCCGCCCTCCGCATCACGGCGCGCCTGCCGCGGCCGAAACACCCGTCGCGCCTCAGGTGACGTTCGACAAAAAGCGAGGCATCACGTCAGGCACCTGGGGGCAGGACGGCAAGAGCATGGCATACATCCAGGTGCGGGGGAATGTTTTTGAGGGGTGCTTGTGGCGCCGATTGCTTGGGGCCATTGACGCACGACCCTGCCCTGCATGGAGCAGCGCAAGAGATGCCCTCAGCTGAGGCGGACGCGGGGTCGCGGGAAAGGCGGGGAGGGAGGCTCGTGGCAGGCGGCACCTGCGATCGGGTGCCCAGCCAGCCGGGGCTTTGATCGTGGCGATGAGTTTACGCTGCGGCACACAAGGGGTTTGTGCGTTTGAAGTAGCGACCGCATCGCGGCTCTGCTGCGTCCGGCTGTGCCGCCCTGCCCACCCACGACCTCTGCCCCGACATCCGGCCTTGGCCCGCCCCCGCCGCCCAGGACACCGACGGCGATGAAAACTTCCACCTTTTCCTGGTGCCCCTCGCCGACACCTTCAAGTCTGGCGCCAAGGCCGCGCCGCCGCCGGTCGACGCAACCCCTTTCAAGGGCGTCAAGGCGTCCGGCATCATGAGCAGCAAAAACGTGGGCGGGCGGGCGGGCGGTTTCAGGGCAGTTTTGATGCATCGCCCCCACCCCATCCACCCCTGCACCCCAGCTGCCTAGCC